TATATATATACAGAGAGAGAGAGAGAGAGAGAGAGAGACAAACGTCAATGTGTAAGCTTAATTGGCCTTGTAGCTCTTAAAGTTGACTCCCTTGGAAATCTTGTCGTGATTGAAACAATCCCCTTCAACTTTATCGGGGCTTAAATACAATATATTTAAACCAGACCACATAGTAGAATCACATAGATTCAAGAAAACTAGTAACAAATTATGAACATAAGCACAAAAAAGAAATCTAGAAAAGCTCACATGAATTTAATGTGAAAAACTCCGAAAACTGAAAAAAATCACGAAGCCGCAACATCAAGAAATTTCATTATGAACTAGAAATTTTTATAGACATCTCACTCAGATTTCCTCTCTACAATCAAAAAACCTTACAAAACCTTGCTCAAATTCTTCCCTCTCAATCCAAAAGGAGAAATGCACACGAAATTCTCCTCTCTAACTCTTCTCACCTTTACCAAAAAATTAGCAAAGAAAACACGCACTAGAACTACTCCATTTTGTCGCTCGAAAAAGCTTTTTAAAGTTAAATCATAGACCAACCGCATCAGACACAGAAGCGATCAGAATTGGGCATTAGAGCATTGATCCATCGAGTAAGAAAGCAATGTAAACCTGAGGTGTGGGTGTATGAGAACCCACATTTGAACCCAAGAGCACCCACATTCGGCACATGAGTGCCTCTATTTGGGAACAGGGGAGCTCAGTTGCTAAGCACAGGAGCACCCATGAGCATAAGAGCACCTCTTGTTGGGCGCAGGGGTGCCCGTAGCTTGGAACTCGGTCTGTTGTGTGACTATGGTGCTTTTGGTGCTCCAAAACAGCCTTCACTACATAACAATCTCCCACTCTGCACCCAACACATGTTCTTATCTTCACCTCAATCTGTATCACATTTATACTCACAAACCATAGTGTGGCTCACCGCCGGTCTCAACCTTCATGAAATTTAACTAAAGCAAAACATAACTTTAGTTTCTCAATTGTCACCACATTTGTCAACATATTCGTAGAATTCTAAGCTGCATTTACCTTCCCCAAGAATAATTGCCTGTCTTCTAGGAGAGATCATATAAGATGATACCTCCGTAGTTTTAGTTTTTGTACCTCAATTTGTAACTCAATTAAAGTTTTTGTAGCCAAGTAGTCATCAACTACATTAGTTGTAGCTCAATTATGACTGTTGTAGCCAAACTATCATTATATATTTGTGACCATCAGTTTTTATGATCTCATTTTTCCCAATTAAAGAGAAAAATCAAGTTTTATACTTTCAATTTCCTAATTAATTACTTTGACTAGACTGGGCACCATAGTGTTTTCCCTTTCTAGGATTTTCCTATAAATAATCTAATTGTCACATATATTTCTATTGATGTCTAAGGTGGAAAATTATACTGAGCTAAGGCTTGAGATTTCTATATCATTGAGAAATTTCGAGTGCACAACAAGAAATATTTGAGAAATAAACTTGAAATCCATCCAAAGCACATTAGAAGTAGAATTTCTTGGGGCGTGAAGATTTTAGAAAGTCACAACTAAATCACACTACGAAAAATATACTGATTCGAGAGATCCGGAATAAAATAATGAACAAAAACACATAAATAAGATCCATAAAAACTCACAAGAATAAAAGTGGAAAAAACGTGAGAATGGGAAAAATCACCAAGCCACAACACATCAAAAATTCAACTATGAATATCAAAAGAAATGTACATATTACACCACACAGATTTTTTTTTTCTCGACTCTTCTGAAACTTATACCAAGTTGGGCACTCCTCCTCTCTTGATTGCACAAGAAAAATCAGCCAAGATCAACCCCTTGACTCTTCATGTAACTTGCACTTGTTACGCATCATCGAGACAATACAACGCCAACAAATTTTTGAACGAAACTAGGGCTTAAAATCAAATC